CATACAGAAAGCAAAACGGTTTCTGTGTTTGCAACTTGTCAGGGTTGAGAACTTTGAAGATCTTTCAGGGTAAGACAGAGATCTGATCTTTTGGTCAGTAGAAGAGTTCTAAAGTTTCACAAGTCATATGTGAAGTCTCAATCAATCTCCAAATTCTCGTGAAATACTTGGCTGTTTGAACCATGCGTATTGGTTCAGGCACAACTTTTAGAAGGATGACATGCTCTTTGCCAGGTTACTCATAAAAATTCTTGACCTTGAGTATTGCGATAATAGTCTGTTTTCAGTCTGGAATTCAGGATATGAAGTGTTTCTGACTTTAATTTCAGCATCGGTCAACAGAGATACATTTTATATGGGAGGTAACAACTGTTCTTTTACTAACAGCATGGCAAACAAGATCTACTCAGTAAGGGACCACCTGAACATCTCTTACTATTACCATATTCGTATGTTTTTTTCTCTTTCCTACTCAGGCCTCACACCCATCTATTTAAGGCAATTAAAACTCCTTGTAACTTCAGTCAGATCTGGGCCATGAGTTTCTCCCTTAGTGATATGAGAAGCGTAGGTGGTAGCAACAAGAATTGTACAGAGAATGGAAGAGTTGAGCACAATATGCCTTCCTCCATCCCACAAATATTTGTGAAATAGATTGGGTTTTTCCGAATGGAAGGATGAGAAGACCAGAACTGAGAGCCTGAGAGCTCTGGTGTGTGAGGTGGGTAGAACCCAACACCCCTTCACCAAATGGTTTATTTTATGTGCATCCTGCAGTGGAAAATCATTCCACTAGAGCATTCCAACTGCCCAAGTTGAAGACTTTGGTTGTAATTCAGTTCGAGATGCACTGTATTATGCACATGCTTCTGTGCTTACATACAGAATGTGCATTAGGTCAGCGGGTGGTGAACATACTCAGCATCTTACAAGGCTGAGTGTTTAAAGAGTGCAATGTGTTACCTGGACTAGCCCAGTTACTGGAAGGAATTGAGAAAAGGTAGCACTGAGCAAATTGCAGACGCATTTTCCTGCTTCTTAGGCGAGTTTCACAGTGTAGTGAGCTCTGCACTGTCCTACCCAGGCTGCTTCCAGGATCTAAAATAGCTAGTTCAAAGACACAGGTACTACTAAGTCATGCTGCAGTCTACTGTGCAGACATAGCCTCATTTATTTTTAGGTGATGTTCTCAGACCACTACTGTGAGATACCTGATCTGGTCCATCTTTTTATTTAGTCCAGATATGTATATAGGTACCACCTGGCATTCCATATCTAAAGAACAATGAAAAGTACATCAGAAAAGTGGTTTGAATTTGATACAGAAAAATCATAGTACCAAGGAGCTTAAACTTAAATGTGTTACTAATCATGAGCATTCTTGGAAGCCAGTGTGTTTAGTTGGGGCAGAAAGCTTAAAAAATACTAGAGCCAGATGGGCTGATTCATACATTAGCATGCAGCTAATCAAACCAGCAAGTGGAATATGGAAAACCTTTCTAAATCCTGCAATTGTGCATTTTTGCTTCTGATGTAAGCTTCACCCATCTTACATTTACGTATTGCAGAGGGTACTCAAAAATTTTAGATCTTTAACTAGACTCTAAATGTTTCGATTCGCAATCGTTCCATGTAGAAATGACACAATCTGCAATAAATGTTCCATTTATAAAGGCAATACAAGAACTTGTACATGAAGCTTATTTTCGTGACAGGAGGCAGGAGGTCTGAAGTCCACTGTAGCTCAAGAGCCGATCCAGCTCTAAGAATGATGGTGAATTCTCTCCCTGACTCTATAATCACCTCTCCTCTGACAATGCCTGGAGCATCTTGAGGTAGAAAGGAAGAGTTCCAAGCTCAGAAGCATGTGATGTCCTTTTGGATCTCACTAACGTGTAAAGAGAGTCCCAATGAATGTGAACCTAGTATTTTTGGTTACTGATGTGTCATGATAAGAATCTAATTCAGATAGTAAAATACTCTTCAGAGCTGCAAAAGGAAGGAATATCTAGTTTTGTATAAGACACAAGGTCTGGATTTTGCCAATGCTATAAAGAATAGTTTAAAAAAAAAAAAAAAAGTTAGCAGTGGTAGAAGCTGGTAGGATTGAACCACTGGTGAAAAGTAGAAGATGCTTCATAACATATGTTCAACAACTATTTAAGATTCATGGTGGATGGTGCCAAGGAGACAGGATACAAACACTGCATCTCTTTGTGTCAGCAAGTCCAGTGTCACTATGGAGGCAGGAGACATTAATTCCAAGGGGAGAGCAGTGCCAACTTTTCTCAAAGGAATCCCTTCAACAGCTCCTCCACTTAGGTAGTTATGAAGTTCAGCTTCCAATGAAAGTTACTGCCTCCTGGCATTACCTCTGCTTCATTAAATAAGGAGGCAGTTATTTGGGCAGCTACACTGCACAAGGCCTGCAGAAAGGCAGGAGGAAGAGCCCAAAGCCACTGGGACTAGCACTACTCAGTTCTGAAATGCAGCTTGAGAAACTGAGGGGAAACATACGTGGCAGAATATAATGAGCATTTATGAGAGTAATTCAAATGGATGGCTACGGCCAGAGCTCTGGCCCGTTCCATTAACAAATAACCAGGGAAACCAGAGAAGTGAATTTCCTGCATATCGTGGGATGCTGCACAAAAGACATTGTATGCCAGACACTTAGGAATGGAAAGCTGGCATAGGATGTGCAAGAATGCTTGAGATTCCTGTTCAGATCAGGCAGGAACATTACCACTGAAGATAGAGCACCGAATATAATATGCATAATCACTGCAGAAAGTACAATGCAAATAACCCTCGAAATCACAGGAGATTCCTGGTCCTCTTTTGCCTAACGTTGCTGCAGATCTATCTGAATTACAGATTCAATTAGGGAAAAAATAAGCCTTAGTGGGACTCTCATATTTAATGAGATGCTGCCCAGCTACCAATTTAATGGCCCACCATATGTGATAGACTCTAGGAGCTGTTAAGACCAGATAATGGATCACAATTCAGGACGAGCTCATTCTGATAATTTTCTGGATTTATCAGTTTAAACACACAGTACACAATTCTAGCTGAAGACTGTGAATAACATGAAGTTAATTTGATACGAAGGACTTGAGAGTTTACAGGGGCCCTTTCTCATTCTTACTAGGTCATTGTAGAATGTTTTAAAATCTTGATAGGTATCACGACATTTACAGCCTTGTGAACAGAAAAAAAGCCAAACAGTTCATTGCCAAAGTGCACTTGAAGCAAAAACAGTCAATCTAGAAACATTTCTGTTTCTATACTAAATATTGTAGAGACACTAAAAAAAAAAAGAAAAAGTTCCTGACCCCAAATGCCCATTACATACTGAGAGTGGGATTTCTGTGATTTAACTTGAGCTGTCAAAAAAGTAAGCATCTAGCATAAGCTATTTGCCTGTGCTCCTTCAATAATCTGTGGAGATATCCAGGCATCTCCAGAGGAAAATTCTTCTCATTCTGGGTAACAGGATGAATCACCCTCAGGGGACAGCATGTTTCCAACAGCTATAAAGGGTATCTAGATGATTCCCTTGCCAATTGAAGTTTAGATTAGCTGGAAAAACAGACGGGATTTTGCGCACACTGGCACACCAGTCCTTCTTTTGATCTGAAAACAGAAAAGGGGTTCATGTTCCTAGCATCTTTCCACACAACCTAACAGTAGTAGTTGGTCAAATAAAGCATACCAACTTACAAACTTTCTTTCCTATGTATTAGACCATCATAGATAAAACTCTACCATCAGCTAGCTGCCAGAGCGTTAGATCTAAAGTTGAATGGGATGAGAATCTCATCCCAGGACACAAGAAGAGTGACATCATGGCATCAGATGAGTTATGTGCTTGAAATGCTTCTTCCTCATAACTGATTAAAAAAGGATTCTAGATACCTAGATCAGATATTGCTACACACATCTGATAGACAGATGTATATAATTGTCAGGAAAGATGAATCCTACCAAAAACTAATGGTGGGTGCCATTTATTCTCCAGTAAGCGCAATGAACGCGCTCCAATCCCAGCTGAACAGCAAACTGACTTGTGTGCTCACGTCCCTCCTCCATCGCATAGTGCCTCCTGCTCACAGGTTTTGGTCAGGGAACAGCTGTTTTCCTCAGACAATGAAACTCTCTAGAGAAAGTCAAATAAAACCCCTTTCTACGATGCTGCATGAATACTCTTTTATAAATGGAAATGAGGGGTGCCACTAAGACAGACATTTAGGGAAAAGCTCCAGTCAAATCTAGCAGCCATTAGGCCATGTCGGGAATGCTGTAACAGCCTCGTGAAAGATCCTGCTTAGTCTCTTTCATACAGTGGCTCTTAATAATGAGCATATAATAAATGTACAGTCTGGAGGAATTTACTATACAGTATCCAATTGGATTTATATAGTCATAAACTTCTACAGCACTGCTTCTATGATTTACAACAGTCTCTACTAATTATGAAGCTATGCCTGGATTTGAGATGTAAGAGGCAAATGTTACCAGACTGGTTGTACAGGGATACTACACAAATGCACATTTGCCAGAGCAATTTTGAATCGCTTGTTAACAGAGAACCATTGCGAATAACCATGTATTTTCGTCTGCTCTTACGAAAAGCCCAGGAAGTTTGTGGGATGGGGTTTTATTGTGATGGAGTTTAGAAATAAGGGAAGGATTGAGGAGTGAATAGTCCATGGACCCCATCAGCAAAACTTGGGCTACCTTCTGCCTGGATTGTAGGGGACTGGACTTGCTAGCTTACCTAATCCCCTCCCAAATCTATACTTCTGATTTCCTAAAAAGAAACCACCATAGGAAATACCATGACTTACTGTAGGACAAGCCTCTCATGACCCAAATGGATATAGAAGGATGTTACACTTGACAGAAGTTTTCCAGCACAGACATTTAATTTTGCTGTTACTCAGCATATTAAATAAGTATTTCAGAAAGGACTGTATGTCATTAATAGGAATTACCTGGGCATCGTGGGCAGCACAGCTGTGGTACGTGCACAGGGGAAGGACAGTGCAGACTTGGGCATCTTATTCTGCTGCACAGTACATTTCCATTCTGCAGGTGGAACATAATACAATACCTTAATGAAATGGGCTGTCTTACCCAATTTCTATGTGTTCTCTATTCTGCATCTAGATATTTCAAAAGCAAATGCCTTTTTACAACATTCTGATTTCACTCACACCAGGGTTAAGCCCAGACTACTTTCACTGCCTTTGAATTTGTGCTGGAGGTCAGAATGTAGCAGAAATCCATACAAACCTTAAAATCAGAGGAAGAGCCTAGAAATGGATTGCAACAAACTTCATTTGTGTTTTTCTTTCGAGCAGATTACACTTAGGAATTGCATTTTCAAAACTAAGACACAGATAATGAATGGTAGGTCTCTGAGATATCCCCTACGGAGGGTTAGTTCAAGACCGCAAGAGACAATAGCGTCTGTAATTGTTCCTGAAAACTGTGGAGAGTCTTTTGTTTTCATTTTATGGGTTCCCCAGTAGACAAAAAACACCAGTTGGTACGTAGCCATTTTTCTAAGAAATATGAGCAAGTCTCGGGAATAGTGCTCATTATTCATGTCATTAACGTAATATTCTATTTGACCACATCTAAGTTTGATTTATAATTAAAACACAGGGAATTTTCATTCTCCAGTGTCTGTAACCAGAAAAGACTATCCATTTCAAATTCCCATTTCCCATCTATAATTCAACCTCCTAATTTAGCTCTGAGTTGCTCATGTTTATAGCAAGAAAGATCTTTCAGTATGAACACTGATAGTATGGTATGACTGTAGTTTTAGGTGGTGTCAGGAATAAACCCACTTCGTTTTCATATGCCTTCTGGAGCACTGAAACATTTCCAGTGGAGGTGCAGACTTCCTCAGATAGCATATATATAGGCCTTCCTAACCATCTCTTTCAAAACAATCCATTGACTCCTAAATATCTGCAGACCCCAGGCTGGAATCTAACGACGTTAGATCATTACTACATGAACTACATTTGGAAAAAGACACTAAAAATGATATCACTTTCTGTTTCCAATGATGACTGAAATTAAATATACTGATATTATAGAGGAGGAGCAAAGTTTAGGTTGTAGACTCTTTGCAGGATAGGGAGTATCACTGGTCTGCACAGCTCCTTGCCCAGCAGACCTTCACTTGAGAGCCTGTAAAGTACGACCGTAGAAGAAAGGCTGGCACTGCCTGCTGGCCTGGCTCCATGTTGCTTAACTTGATCTGTTCCACGGCCTCACTCCTTTTTTAATTATTAGTCCTGTGAAATCTCCTAGGGGAATGTTTACTTTCTGTGCATGATCAGCTTTGATAAAAAAATCTGCAGGCCTGCTTTGCTCCCCAGAGCTGCCTGCAGTACTCCACTGCTTGCAGCAGGACAGAACTATTTTAACTGACTTATAGATTCACAGTGATTTTTGGGAGACCAAGCCCTTCTGACTGCAGCAGGACTTCAGCTCCTGTAGGTCTCTGTGTGTCAGGGTCATGGTTGGCATTTCTGCATCAGATACCTATAGAGTAAGAGTGCATCTCTTTTCCCAAGCTGGGTTATCAGTGCTAAGCGTGGAGAGCTTTCCTTTTAGCCCCTGAAGTCTGCAAATCTCACTATGAACACAAGCAAAAAGCTCCTGTATTTTACAGAGTAAAATAATGATCTGACAAACTGTGAGTGCTCCAATTTACTTGAGAGTAACAGTCTCTACTGTGTATTTCAGGGGAGGAGGGGTTGTAAAAGAAATGGGGAACAGAGCGAGAACACTGAATTATGTTTAGTTTCATTCTGGTTTAAGTATGTAAATTATAACTTGTAAAAATACAATACTACATACACACAAAAACAGGAAGGCTTTTTTTTTTTTTTTTAATCCCAGGCTGAATAATTTGGCCTCTGTTTAGTGAGTTAATTTGTCTCGCTTTTTCTTAAACATTAGAAGTGTGTGTTGGGGGGGACGGATGGACAGACCGTTGTTTAGAGATGGAGCAAACAACCAAGTAGAGTCCAGAACCACGTCTGAGCTGCATGTACTGGTAATTACCACAAGCAGTTTCCTTCTTTGCTAACCTTCTTGTCCTGAACTGTCACTCTGGTCTTCCATGCCCATGTGGGAAGGAAAGAAATAAAATAAATTCCCATTTCTTGGAGCCTTGAAGTGCATGGGTATGCCTGGATCACAGCAGTGCTGTTCTCTAGAGGAGCGTACCATGCACTTTCCCATCCCTCTAGACTGTCTAACATCTTCCTAAAAAAATTAATGGAGCAATGATTTGTATCCAGATCTCTACAGTTTCCAGTGAATTTCATCCCAACCCAAGACACAACCTTCCAGCAATTTAATGAGTGTTTTGCCACACATGGACTCTGAGGGAGTTTTCAACTTTGCATATGGATCAGCAAGAGTGAGTGGAAACTCCTTTGTGCTACAACCAAAGTCTTTTCCTTTTGTTCCTACAACATTGCTTTTTCTCTTACAGATGCATTCTGCTGCACAGACCTGAGATGCAGCCAAGCTTGTGAGACTACTGTTTGTGCATCTCTGCACTAAATGGTAGTAGCAGATCCCTCAAAGTGAATGCTGCACAGGGGCCCAATATTTTACACTTGCAAGGGGGAGAAATAGCCAAGAAAACTTTATTCTGCATAAAATACAGCAGACAGAACTCAGCATCTGGATTGTCGCATGTGTTAGTGATTAAGATCCCTTATTGTTTAGTCATTTTAAAGTACTCCAAGGGACATATTCTGCTCTCATTTTCCTGCCCTCTCCAGCTGTTTATCACATACTTAGGGGATCTATGACTGCTGTGTCTTTGTATCAGGCATCAACTGATGGTAGCCAAAGACCTGTCCTTTCATGTCCTACCCAATTCTCTCTGCTCCCCAAACCTTTTTCTCATTTTTCATCACCTCATTCTTCTTTCATAGATTTTTACAAACGGTGATATCCAAGCCTGTTCCTTCAGCACTTCAGGACAGCAGATGCTCTGACTCTGGAAGTGCCTCTGAAGATGTGGGCATTGTACAAAATCACAAAATTGAAACACTACTAAATTCAGGTTCAGCATAATCATTCATATTGATGGAACTGTAAGGATTATATTTAGGTAGTGGGGTCCAATTATTCAAGATGTAGTGCTCAGCATTGACAAAGCTTCTAGCTAGTTAAGGAGCTGTTTTTTCTACCCCATGCAAGTATTTTTTGCTGATATTGGCCTCCTCTGTTCATATTTTCCCTTTGCTAGGATCACCGGCCTCTATTTCCTACAGCATGATCAGGACTCACTAGTGAAAACAGGTTTGGGCTTTGTCAAATTGTAGATACAACAGAAAGAGATTCTAGTCACTGAAGCAAGTAGAAGAAGTTGTAAGATCAATAACTCAGCAGTCCTACCTCTGAGCAAAGACAATTAACACAGTAAACAAGGCCATAGGGTTCTAGGTAAGGATGCCATCTTTCTCCTACACGGTACTTCTTATCTTGAAACACGCAGTACGTATCTGAGTCTGTAAAACAGAAAAATTGAAAGACCTGTGAATGAATGTTCCCATTCCGTGCTTACAAAGTGGTTTTAGGTGTGCAGTGTTGTCTGTAAACTATTTTTTCTTTCCCTGGAGAATCACACAACGGAAATGCCCTTCATTTCATATGCTGTCGTTTCTAACCTCCCAAACCAAAATAAATGACATGGCCTCCCATCTTTCCAAAACTGCAGCTCCTGCAATAGCTGACAAATGGCCTTCATACAGAGTGAGTTTGTCCTTTCACCTGCAAAAACACAGGCTAAGATCCCGTTTAGGTAGCAGAATTAAAGTGTTTGATTGCTCAGACAGGTTTACAGGAAACAAAACCTTTCACTGCAAAACCAAAGCAATTGGCTTGAGTCAGGAAAATCCCAGGATGTACAGCAGAGAGATTTTGAACACGAGGACTGCAAAAGGAAGATAAATGCACTGTGTTTACTGCTTGTTCAGTATCTCCGTATTTTAACAACCTAATAAAAAAGGAGTTTGTCCTAGTATTTCAGAACCATTTGTGGTGACTTACATATGCATCAGCATTCAAAATATGTTAAGACCTTTCTGTTCATTAAGCACTTCTAATCTTGCAGGTGCAGTTTTGCAAATATCCATCTACCTATCAGACATTACTGTCCTGTCTCTCCCTGTCACATTATTGGTTTCACATTGAAAACTCAGATCTCTTCACTAAAAATAAGTTTCCCCTGTGTTTCCATGTGAGGATTCCTTCTGGTTATCTTAATGATGTCCAAATTCAGCTTAATTCATCACCCTCAGTATAGATGATACATGAGGGTATCAAGCAAAATACCTGTCTTCCAAGTGATAATCCAAGCACAGGATATTCTTCACATTTACTGGGCTAAAAGAAGGTAGCAAGAGGTAGGGATTATTAGTAGCAACTGTGAAATGATCTGCTTTCACTTCACACAAAAGCATGAAAAATGAAATGCAGGATCTGAAAAGGCAGATGTCCAAAGTGGAGTTGGATAATTTCTCACACTGTGCTTCCTTTGAACAGAAATACCTGCACATTGTTTTCTTGTGAGTAAGTTTAGCGGAGAAGGTGACCTTTTTTGAACTCACTCTTTTTTTTTTTTTTTTTTTTAAATCTACCTCCTTAGAAGCAGAAGCTGCTGATACTGAGGCTGAAAAATTTAACTACTTCTCAAGGGCAAACCATGTCCTTCGTAAGAAGAAGGCCAAAACCCAGCCTATGCAGGTCGGGAGAGCATTCCAGAGAGCTAGTAACAAGGCTGTAGCAGTCAATAACTCCTAGATTTATTTGGGCAGTTATTCCTCCTTGCCATGCTTTCTGAAATGTGTTAACATTTCCCATGGGTGACAGGCTTTGTAGAAATATTCCCTTTGTTTTGTTTGTATTCTTTTGCAGTTCTTCTCATCAAGTTTTTGACAGTGCTTAGACTCTTAATTTTCTCAAAGGATGTATCTAATCCAGTTCATATGAGGTTGTTTTTGGAACACAACAGAATAGTCTTGGACGAGCTTTACTCTCGCTGAAAACTTCAGCACAATAGTCTTACACATGGGACAAAATCCAGATAATCCATCAGATGTTTACAGAGGTCACTAAAATGGAATTAAGCACTCTCTTGATTCAGGATATTTGCAATAAAACAGATTGTCCAACTGATCTCTTATGTTTGATCTCTTATGTTCTTTATGATGCAATGAAACCTGTACAGCTTTAGGAAAACGTGCCCCAAACATGGGTGTGACCTGATTCTACTAAATGTAGGATTAGAAGGAGGAAGAATGTTAGAAGGTTTTGAACACAGTTCCACAGTTTAGGACATTCTTGTTTGAAGATCTTTTCTGAACCACATCTGTCAAATAGAAGGAAAATGTGAAATTTGGATGAATGTGACAGCTTTGTTTGAAGTCTACTTACGTTTTACTTGTTCTAGTTTACCTCCATCTATGAAAAGGAGACAGAGCACACCAAAAAAGATACAATGAAAAACTTCCAATATCCACTTCTTTCTCATGTTTATCACAAAAGGAAAAGAAAGAGCCTCCGAAGTAGAGAATGTTGAGCTGTTGGGAAGAAAAGATTAAATGAATTAAACTAAAATCCTGTAAGATACTTAAATTCTCTGACACAATTTCATCCAGCACACAGAAATCCTCAACCGCCAGAACCAAAAAATCTGTCTATATCATGACTCTTCATTTCATGGGAACGGCTTTGGCTTCAGGTCATTTCAGTTTTGGAAAAGGGGCCATGTTCCCATTCATGAAAGCTGAAAACTTTATGACTTGTAATAAAGTCCTTGTTTTATTCCAAAGCAGAGAAACCTGGCAAGTAAGCAATCTAAATTCTTTCACAAGAAACTCGTTTGGGAGAGATGTTCTTGTAGAGCAGCTCTTTAGGAAATACAGGTGTCAGTTGTAACATGTTCGCTTCATCGTAAAATTAACCGGTGCACTACGGAAAGCCACGCTTAGGGCGGAACGCTGGCCACGCTGTAGTCAACGGGAGCTCTTCTCACTTTCCACCACTATTCAACCCACCCCTCCTCCCCTCTCCCAACTACTATTGTTCTGGGATTGTGTATAATTAATTTTTCCAGAGTTAACCCCTCCATTGCCTTGAGATCTGAAAGCAGGATGGGGAAATGACATGTCATCTTCATTCTTACAGATTTTTAATGTCAAAATCTCGCATATGGAGCAAAGCTTAATGTATTCTTCTCTGTGGTATCGTACTTGCTGCGTGCGCCATTCTGTTTATCTTTTTCTGGCTTTTAGAAGGTGAATTATTTTATAATGAAAGAAATAAGGGAGAAAATAATTAACTAAAGTATATATTTTTTTATAGTCAACCTAAGATTCAAAATTGAAAAAATATATTGATGCTTTGCTATCAGAATTCATTGCGAAAGTATTACCTTCCCAGAGTACACTCATCCATAATTTACAATGTTGGAAATATTTGGGTTTGATTTTAAGAATCTTGATGTGGATTCACAAATAGTTTTACAAAAGCTAAAAAAAAAAATAAATAATTCACTATTGGAAAAATAAACAATCTGCTTTGTAAACTAATTTGACCTCTTCAGATTTCATGTAAATAGTAGAACTGTACATGAATATGCTTCAGCTCACAGATAACCAAACCAGAAATAACAATTTATATATGTATATTCAAAATTAAGTGGTGGATAACTTCGAGAAATTAACTAAACAGTAAGTTAACAAGCACTTAAAAAGAAAATTTCCCTATTACGACTGTTGAGATCGAGGATTCTGTAACAAAGGGTGGGTGATCTGATTTTATCACGGTGGGTTTATTGCCTTTACTGTTTAAGGGTTCTCTACTCTACGTTCCCAAACCACAACCAAAACGTACATCTTTCTTAACTAATCAAATCTATGCAACTACTCTGTCACTACTCAGTGAGCTCACTCAAAATAATGCAAATTGCATCTGAAAACATTCACGAAAATAACGCTATTTTAAAAGCACACTGCCTATGCAGTAACAAAATAAAACCTCCCATTTATTTTGGAAGCTGAGAATGATATTCCAATTTCAGAAGAAAAGTTTAAGTCATTTTATTCCTTTCAATGTGTTCAAATCATATAGGATGTTTTAAAGCCAAACAACCTTTTAGAAACTTGTTTAAAATTAAAACCTCATAATTTAGTCCCAGGACATCACGCAGGCATTGAGAACAACAGCAGCACATCACTGGGACTGGCAGAAATGTGAATGTTTAAATATTTTGGCCTTCTTGGGGGTTGCTTAAGCAAACAATATTTATAAACGGAGCACAGTTCTCCTTTGTGTGCAGCACTTTACCTGTTAGCTAGATCGGTTAGTTCGAATAGAAAGGCTCCGAAATCCACCCATTTTAAATGTCAGGTCTTCAAAAGGAAGCACATTTTAAAACTTGGACTGCTTACACTCAGAAATGCTGCACGGTAACGTGAAATGGAGGAGTTAATAACAGAAAGGGGATGGGGACTTTTGATGTCTTTCTTAATTCTCTTTAATTTCTGTATTGTTGTTACTCCAAATATAAACACATACTTTTCACTATTAGCACACTCCCTTTATTTCCCCAAAGGGCAATGTCCTAAAAATATTCTTGGATTTAAATAATCTCAGTTAGGATTAACCTGTTAATTATTGGTGTGTTTTCTGCTTAGTAGAAACAATGAAAGCGACCCACTTCTTACATGAATTACTCACTGAAATAAGGCATGTGGGTCAATTTTTAACGCCTCGCCCTGCGAAGAGCCCGGTTTAGGAACTACAAGTGGCAGAGTCTGGCCTCGCCACGTTTTACCATTAATGG